CCCCAAAACCCCAAAACCCCAAAACCCCAAAATCAAAATTAAATCAAATCTTGGCTAAATTTATAAATAATATCTTTAAAGTGTGAAATGAAATAGATATAATTTTAAGTGACTAATAAATCTCTTATCAATTCTATGGTCTGGCACTTCTTTGACTTGATTGAGCTGGAGGCACTGGATTTTACTTTTTAGCTACTCCTAGATTTATATAAACTGGGATTGTTAGGTTAAATGGATGCTATCCATATCTTAACGATTCTGTGCTCATTTTAATTCCAAACTATATATACATTTTAATGTTGATAAAGAATTACATAAATCTCTTAGGTCTCAAATACAAATCCTTCTTTGAAAATAATAGGAACTTTTAGCACAACAAAGTTATCTAGTTTCTTATAGATATACTTCTCATCTTCAGGAGCAATGTTTGGCTTTTATTACTCAGCTGTAGTCTAGTCATTAATTGAATCAACAGCATCTATTTGGATCTGATCTTAAGGTAGCTCAATCTAAGATGTTAATTTCTTATTGAGTTCATCTTCATTTTCACTTTCATCTATTTAAACAAGCTTAATTTTAGCCATTGACATATTGGGATTGGTAAACTTCAATAGTACTTCCATCTGCTACCCATCTTGATACTTTCCTATTCTGTAGATAGTGACTTTAGGAACATGATAGATTAATTGGAAATCCACTTTAAGTTGCTCAGTGGAGGTTGGGTTTATATTAGGCTTTACTACAAATTTTGTGCAAGTCTTGCATCTCTTAGTTCTCTTTGTTAAAAGATATAATGCACCTGGATAAAGATCTCTATTACCATATTAAATGAATAAAGATATATCTTACTTAACTTTATATGGCTGAGTATTTGGATTTTTAAGTCTCTATTGGAGTGTAGACACTATGAAACATTAGAGATTTCATAAAATTACCTTAATTGATATCAAACTCCTGTTGCATTGCATCTTCGAAGCTCAAAAATCCTCCTGGTAGTTAAGGCACTTATTGGATTAATTCAGATTTCTCCTCCTCATTTTCTATTCTCTCATCCTAAGGTTGAGAGGTTTATACCTCTTTGTCTAAATAAGATAAGAAGTCAATGAATTCTTCAGGTGGTAAGTCCTTAGCTTCCTCTTCTCCATTGGCATTAGTTTTACTTGCAGCGGCCTCAGCTTTAGCCTTTTCTGCTTTTTAGGCTGATAGTTACTATAATAATTAGCCTCTTGGTGTATTGCTTCTACTTAGAGTATTTTAATCCCTAGGAGATTTCATTGACATTCCATATTCCTCATCAAATCCATATTATCTAGCCGAGAGTTATTCTTATTCTGGAAATAATTAACATGAATTTTAAGTTTAAAGTACTTTGCATCTCTAACTTAGAGAGATAAATTTCTTCAAATGGTTTAAGCTTCCTATCCTCAATGTTTCTTTTCTGCTTTTCCTCTAGATCCTTTTCCAAATCAGCCATAAAATACTTAGAGATCTTTTTAATTTTGCCTGGTACATAAAATGAGACTGTCTTCCTCTTTGCTCTAGTCTGAAATTTCTCCACTATAGTAGATATATAATTATGTGAAAATATTGGAACAGTCAGATTAAAATATTTATGAGTACTTACATTTGATTTGTTCTTCTTGATTATATCTATAGACCTCAAGCAATTTTTCAAACTAAATAGATTACATTTACAAATTTCCTTACAATCACCTATTGTGGATTTTTAAAATACTTTCCCTTGTAGAAATTAATCTTCACTAATAATGTTTTGATTGCAAAAATGTATCTTACTGAGAAGATTATTAATTGAGACCGATTTCAAATCTACTTGCTTTGTATCATATTAGCAGAACTGGCAATTATAGTAATATCTATGTAAATATTGATGCTTTTGAATATATCTAACATTTTGGCACCAGGAGTGACCATGACACTCATAATTGTAAAGCAATTGGGACATTAGAAGTATCTAGAGCACTTGTTCTTAAAGGTTGCTGCTTCTGAAGCTGAGAATACATCTAAGCAAGATCTACAGTAAAAAGATTCCATCTCTTCATGCAGGCAAAACCTGCACAATCCCTTATTACATCTATGATTGCATTTACCATAAAAGAATGTTTATCACTTACTTGAGACAAAAGTACATTTCTTCCTCAATAAACATACGGGAGCATCCACATTGATAGTGCACAAAGGGAGCACTATTAGTTGTCAATTGATACATTTTTAAATGTTTATAATTTTTATAATTAACTTCAATTAAATAATATTCATGAATAGCTCTGATTCAACTTAATTTAATTAGATGTTACTTTTCTTTTAATCATTTAACATCATCTTTCAATCTATCTTTGATGGAGGTACCTTTACTAGCATCTATTTCACTCTAATTCAAAGATTCAGTAATAAATTTCTATTTAGAAGAGCCATCAGTTTCTGAACCGTCATTGATTTATTTGGTATCATCAGATTTTTAAGGCAATAAATTATCCATTGCTTTGAGTCTTTCTTAGATAAGTTTTTTGGATTAAGCTACTTAAGAGTCTGTAAGATAATCATGCTTAGTCCTACCTTCAAACTCCTCTATCTTTCTGCCCTGCCTGGCAACATGATAACTATAGAGTAGTTTTACTGTGAAAGGGACCTATGCTGTAATCTCTTTCTTATTTAGATATACGCTATTTGGACTAGGAGGAGGCTCAAGCAGCCATTCAGGGATATTTTCGATTTGAACTCTTTAATCCTCAAGATAATCCACAAATAATTCTTCTCCATTTGAAATAGACTGTTGAGCTACTACTGCTACAGCTCTAAATACTTCTCCGTTTCTTGTGTTATTCTGCTTATTTTTAAACATTTCTTCTCTGAATTTTATATATGGAATGTATCTCGCAAAAGATGAAGGAAAGAATGTATATGGTAAATCGAAATCAATAAGCTAGACATTGGCAGGAACATCGGGTGGTGGGTGATTGATTAAATGACCTAGTGCATAAGGATTCAAATATTCAGGTGGTACTTAAATAAATGGTCTTTCAGCTATTCCAACTCTCTATGATTAAGTCAATTAAATGCAATTTTTACTTCATTCGTTCTATCATAGTCTTCAAAGAATTCTTGAAAGCTGGATCCAGGAGACGGCATTGGATAAGGTAATTCTTTTTCATAGTCTAACCAATACCCATCAAATCTCTTCAAGTATGGTCTGATACCTCTTTTTGGTGTCTCAGGCATTACTACATTTGGATCGCATACTACTCCAGGGAATAGACCTAGAAGTGTACCAGGTAGAATAACTGGAGATCTTTTTGGGCATTCTAAAAATACACCCCTACCAGCATCTATAATATTATTTAGGAGAGTTAAGCCTACCATGATGATCTATTGTGGAATCTTTGACTTTAAGTAAATGACCAACTTTATACTTCAGGGCTTTCATTAATGTATCTTTTTCTCTATCCCAAATACTCTCATATTCTTTATAGTAATCTCCTCTGTAATAAAGCTTGGATTATTTCAATTTATATATTACGTTAATCTTTGAATGGGAAATTTATCAGGATCAATAATTTCCTTAGAGGCAGTTAATTTGATTTTTTCAGCCACTAATTCTTTATGTCTTGCTACTTCATTCATTGAGTTTATCAAGGCTAAGATAATCACTTATCTTAATGAAAGAATTTTTACTGTACATTTGCTCTAGTAAATCAGCCTAAACCATTATCTAATGCTCATCAGTGTAAAGTTCATTCACCTCACTATAAGTCATTGTAAATTCAATATATATAATGAATGAGTTCTTACTCATAAACTTTTTTCATTAGTTCAGCCTCTTGGTCTAAATCAGGCAATGCTTAGACACCTCTTTGCAAATATGGGAGTAATGCTTGTCTGGCAGATGTTAAGAATGCACCTTGATAAGCAATAGCTTCTGTTTTATACATTCCTTTAGCCTTATCTAGGACTTGCTAAATCATAGATGTCTAATTCACATATTTTTTCAACATTTTGAAATTATAAATCAATAATCAAATGTATAAAATTAATCTTCTAAGTGATTATTTTACCTCTGGGGTTTTGGGGTTTTGGGGTTTTGGGG